AAACATGTATATAAATATGGAATATATATGTACCTGCCATTGCCAGCCAATTTCTGTTTCGGATACTTTTCTTGGCGGATTAACATAGCATTTTTCATTCACTCTATAAGCAACCACACCTGCAAATATTTTGTTTAGAATATCATCCTCATTTCCAGAAGAGGAATTAGCAGCTCCGTCAATGCCCCCGCAGATGACAGTAACGGGATATCTTGGAGGCTGATTATATTGAGCCGCTCTGCTATACATACTGTCCAGATAGTCCTTCAGCTCAGCAGCTTCCTCCAACGGTCTGAAATGATAATAACACGCACGTACATCCCAAAATGGAAAAGAAAATCTCCTTAATTAATTAAGTTTTTGTATAAATACGTGTTTTAGTACAGATTAACTACACGCTTAGACTAGCTGAAAAAAGACTCAATTTGAACAGAAAAACATGTTTCTGTCCACTTTTAAAGTTGAGAATATTACTAAAAGAAAGGGAAAGATTGAAAATAAACATACTTGCAAGTTTTGAACTTTCGGCTGAGGTTAGCAAGACCATGAGGCTGTGAAGCAACATCATCAATCACTGACCACGAATTTCTTATTGTTTGGTAACATGTTTCGCTAGCTTCCTTCATATATCCCAAATTAAATTTTATTTATTAGAGAAAATCAATATTGAAAAGGAAATCAATTAAATAGAAAATAAATACTAGTAATCATGAAAGTATTAAGTACTTTAAAGTCTTTTGTGACAACGGAATAATATCCACCGGGTGGTGTCAGTGTGATATTGTCAAAGTAAAGGATGGGAGCCGACGAGGCCAAAGCTCCAATGGCAATATGAGGGTATTTTAACCGGAACCACGAAGCAAGCACTGAAATATATTAAATTAAAAAAAAATGTTAAATATAACAAAAAATTTTGATTGAATAAAAAAAAAACTTTTAATTAAAAATCTATTGTCTTACAATCAGATTGTAAAACAAAAGTAATTGGGTGAAAAAAAGAACTTAAATATCAAGAAAATTGTCTCTCATTCAATGATTTATATTTTATAATTTAGAAAGATTTAAATTGCAAAATGATAACTAAACTAACTATTTTGAAAAAAACAAGAAAACTACTTACTTCCTCCGTATGAGCCTCCTATAACGATGACTGGGGAATGTTGGGCATGCCACTCTTTCTTTATATGTAAGAGGATTTGTGCATAATCTGCTATGGCTTGTGCCGAGCTGAAATATCCACGAGTGCTTGCGTTTTTCATGACTTCTTCTCTTGACCCAAATGGGATTGATTGCCCATAATAACGATGCTGAACATATATAAAAGAAAAGCAATTATGTTAGAATCTCTCTCCATAGTTAGAATCTCTAGGCCTTGTTTGGTTATGTGATACCTCTACGAATACTTGGAGAGCCTTAAACCGGGGGGCAGTGTCGTTGAGAAATCCGATGACGGTGAGATCACTATCAATAGACGATTCAGCTCCAAGATAGGCCAGAATGGGTGCATTTGGTCCACCCCAGTACTGGAAATTCATCACGTATCTTTGTTGAAATTTGGTGTAGCTTTCAGGCCTATAGTTGAAGTGATCCAGCGTCTGGTTGTAGTAAAATGTCTGGAATTCCTTGGAACTCCATGTTTTCAAAA